ACAAATGACTTGCTTCTTGCATCAGATCAAGCCTGCATCTCATTGCTAGTTTTACTTGATCTTAGTGCTGTGTTCGACACTATAGATCATGACATACTCATAGATCGATTACAAAACTATACAGGTATGCAAGGGCAGGCTTTAAGATAGTTTAGATCATACCTGCCACTTTGTTCATTTAAATGGGGAGTCATCTCAATTATCACCAGTAAAATATGGAGTGCCACAAGGATCTGTGCTAGGTCCTCTGCTATTTTCAATATACATGTTATATACATGTTGCCCCTTGGTAATATTATTAGAAAATTCGGGATTAGTTTCCCCTGTTATGCTGATGATACTCAAATATATATATCTCAACAAGACCCGATGAAACTTCTAAATTATCTAAGCTAACAAGCTAAAAATGTAAAAGATTGGATGACCAATAATTTTCTCCTATTAAATTCGGATAAGACAGATATATTACTTTTTGGACCAAAAAACAGTACACCGAATCTCTTGGATTACAATTTGCAACTAGACGGATGTACTGTTACTTCCTCTACAGTCAATTTCAATTTCTCCATATCCTACCATCCTGGTTCAAAGAATGTAAAAGTCTGTCCCATCTGTCCTGAAGAGTCTTCTGAGAAGCCTGAATCTGTGATTCTTTCTAGGCTGATTGTGAGTCACATTTAATGGTCCCTTGATGAACAACTTACTGATGCCAATGCCTCTGAAGGCTCTCCATGGGGTGTCTGCCTGGTCACAGATTTGTTCCCAGAACTCAATGTACTCTGCTGATCAGATCTATTCACTCTTCCCTGGGCACTGGCCACCCAGGGGCCAATCGCTTCTGGTGGCCAAGAATGGCCTAGGATGTCCTTGGTCACACCTGGGAGTGGAAGGGACTTAAGTGACTTTCCTCTGCAATGGAAACTGCTGAGTTGATGTTTAACCATGAGACTATGGTCTTCCAGAGGTCATTGTGTCCTATTGTGGACCTCAGTTCATCTCCAGGGTCTGGAATGCACTCTTCTCCCTCCTGGGTGTGACCATGCACCTCTTCTCCTGATACCATCTGCAGTCGAATAGGAAAATGAAGAGGGAGATCCAGAAAATTAGACATTTCCTGCAAACCTTCTGCCACAGTGACCACTTCTGCCACAGTGACCAGAACTTCTGAAGCCAGTTCCTCGGGTAGGCAGAGTGCGCTAAGAACTCCCTTTGCCAACCTGCCCCTGGACTCCCTTTGCCAACCTGCCCACTTTTCCAGTGCATACTCGGATTTGCCAGGCTCCACTGTCATTCCCTCACAGCAATCACAATCATCAGAATACTGAATTGCACACACATGTTTGCAATCACCTCTCTACTCAGCCATGGAATATAAGCACGCACCTGTCAGTCGCTCATTGTCTGGTCTCACTTATGAATAAGGACGACTTACCTGCTCTACTTACATTCAAGCGATATCCCAGTTTTTTCCAGGGAAATCTTCTTGCTCTGTCATCTCCTTGGATTCCCCGATTCCCTTTCAAGCCATCTGTTATCATTCCCTTTCATACTCACTGCCATCTGTGTATGCTTTCACCTGATTCACAGACTACCCTACCACAATCTCCCTCAAACTAGGTAATACAAAAGAACTCTGTTAGAGTTTAGTAAATGGAAGATGAGAAACAATGTAACACTCATCTGATTTACCAGCTCATGCTTATTGTGGCAACTCTGCAATAAAACCTGTTAACCTGATATCAATGTTTAAAGTCTGGTGTTCCGTTACAAAAGCAATGTGCTACAAGAAGTTAGTAAACTATATTAGTACGGTAAAACATGTTTGTCAAAAATGCAAAAAAGGTGCGCACATGCCACAAACCGAAATGGGGCTCAGGTGCAGTACAAAAAAAGTCAGGCACACATTAAGTGAACTGAGGTGCAACTCTTTATAGGTAACAGGTGGTCATTCTAATTAGACACACGTTCAATCACAAATGCAGGTATACTCCCACAAAGAAGAAAAAAAGGCAATACAAATTCAAAGTCAAATTTGAATCAATAACCACTCCTCACAATATTTGGACAATATTAAAAACAGATGAAGAAATATACACACAATCTTATAAGAAAGGCTTAATATCAAATTCTTCATTTAACCCAAAAGGTGAAGTATTTAAAGTAAAAATCCAAACACATTCCTATTGTAAAAGTTTCCTCTCAAAATCTCCCCCTCTTGACCGTTTTTGTACTCTCTCTATGCCAATGTACTGTAAAGCACTAACATTGTGGCCCACTTGTCTAAAATGGGACGCTATAGGGCAGGGGTGTATTCAGACATGTGCTGTAGCCTCCGGTCCTGGAGAGCCGCAGCCCTGCAGAGTTCAGTTCAACTCTAATTAAAACTCACCTGCCTGTAGCTTTCTAGTAACTGTTCAGAACCTGATTAGCTTGTTCAGGTGTGTTTGATTAGGGTTGAAGCAAAACTCTGCAGGGCTTTGACTCTCCAGGACCGACGTTTGCCACCCCTGCTATAGGGCTATGTTCAACTCCTGTTCTAATATTACTCATATTCATTGATGCGAGTACGTAGTGATCTAGAAGTTTTAACAACACAAGTGAGACCACACGGACAACATATAAGATAAATCACATGTGTAGAAGAACAAGTAATTGTACCGCGTATCAAGATGTTATGGCCAGTGTGTGGGTGCCTAAAAGATTTACATTTATATATAAACGTACACTTTTACACACAATTACCGCACCTACAATTACCAGGAGGAAGAGTAAGAGTGACAGGTTTCACTACACCGGACGAAAAATCTGATCTTACTAGCATGTTATAAATTACTTTGACATTTAAACCCCTTAGCTGTCACACCCCCATTTTCAGCATGGAGACACAAATGACATACCCAAAATAAAAAGGTTGCTGCTCATGAGTCTTTCTTACTACACTGAACAAAATTATAAACTCAACACTTTTGTTTTTGCCCCCATTTTTCATGAGCTGAACTCAAAGATCTAAGACTTTCTCTATGTACACAAAAGGCCTATTTCTCTCAAATATTGTTCACAAATCTGTCTAAATCTGTGTTAGTGAGCACTTCTCCTTTGCCGAGATAATCGATCCACCTCACAGGTGTGGCATATCAAGATGCTGATTAGACAGCATGATTATTGCACAGGTGTGCCTTAGGCTGGCCACAATAAAAGTCCACTCTAAAATGTGCAGTTTATGACACAGCACAATGCTACAGATGTCGCAAGTTTTGAGGGAGCGTGCAATTGGCATGCTGACTGCAGGAATTTCCACCAGAGCTGTTGCCCGTGAATTGAATGTTCATATCTCAACCATAAGCCATCTCCAAAGGCGTTTCAGAGAATTTGGCAGTACATCACTGTAAGCCTTTCTTATAAGATTGTGTGTATATTTCTTCACCTGTTTTTAATATTGTCCAAATATATTGAGGAGTGGTTATTGATTCGAATTTGACTTGTATTGCCTTTTTTTCTTCCTCTCTTTGTGGGAGCATACCTACATTTGTGATTGAACGTGTGTCTAATTAGGATGACCACCTGTTACCTATAAAGAGTTGCACCTCAGTTCACTTAATGTGTGCCTGACGAAGACCTGATGGTTGAAACGTTGCAGCAATAAAATAATTTTATGGAGCAGTTATATCAGTGTGCGGACAAAACGTGTTTTAGCTCATTGTTACAATGTTGTTAACATGTCAATAAACATGTTATCAACATGCTAAACTTATAAAACATGCTAGACAGAAATTAGTAATATGCTAGCAACATTTTAAAACACATTAGCAAAATGTTAAAATGTGTTAAAAACATGTTAGCAAAATGGTAGTAACATGGTAAAACATGTAGGAATGTGGTAAAACATTCAAACAACATAGTAAAACATGTTTACAACGTGCTAGTACCAAGGTAAAATAAACTATCAACATGCTAGCAATGCGTTAAGACATGTTAGCACTATGCTAAAACACACTAACAACATGGTTGCAATGTGCTAAAATACATTAACAACATGCTAATGCATGTTACAGCAAGCATCGAAGTTACATTTTTGTTAATTTCATTTTAGTTCTAGGAAAACTTAAGAGCTTGAGTCAAGTCTAATGTTTTAGTCCTTCATCATGAACAGCAGGCCAAATTAGTTTACCCTCATTCCACTGAAAAGTATAATAACATGTAAACTATTGTGATACAATCACTTACTGTTCTTGTCTGTGCAATGTTATAAATTCTGTCTTGAGTATGTAAAGTTTGTAAAGATAACCTTAAAAGTGATTGCAATTGTAAGAGCATTACTGAGCATTATGCAGCGTGCATGCCATGTTGTAATTACCGTAATTCTGAGATGACAACACATGATGTTCAACTCAGTGCTGTTCACGTCCTCGGACCGGGGATTATCCGTTTCTATAGCGAGAGTCAACAAAATGAACCAGCATGAAAGAATGTTAGTGCCAGCTGTAAAACACAATACAAGTAACAGTTGCTATGCAAATGCATTATTATTACTCTTTATAATTATTTCTTTAGGATGTTATTACATGGATAGCCTAGATATCTTACTCTGTGCTGCATGTCTTTCATTTATGTTCACATTTCTTTTGTATGAAAACATCTCCATTGGCAAAAGTCAATTACACGAATTTTAAAACATAAATATTACGAAATAACTGCTAATTTACATTTTACTACTGGAAGCGCCAACGTTTTTCTCTGGTTCCGCGTGAGGTGCAGTGGTCACATGGTACAAGCCGTAGCTCTCAGAAAACTCCCAGTTCACAAGTTGTTATTATGAGTTCTACGAGGACGTGAACGCTTTTTTCAAGTTTGTACGTTGAAATTACAGTAATTATGATATGGCATGAACACACCTTTACATTTTTTCGACCGTTGTTTAAGACTGTAGCATATAAAAGTTTTTATCAATCTAAAGTTTTAGATTGAAAGATTGATGATGTCTTTTGTGGTGACCTCCACAGGTGTCACAGAAACCCAGCAACAGAGATGCTCTCTCATCTGTGACATGTGCTGTGGCACGAAACAGAGCTATACAGAAGAAACAAGAGCAGATAGAGGAGGTAACATTATGTCTGTGTGTTGTGTGAAGGATCAGTTTCCACAGTATAATAAGTCAGACTGATATGGGATTTTACCAATAATAATAAGTAAAGCACACATTCACATGGCAGCAGAACATAGTTGTCATTCCTGTGTTTGAGTATTTAAAGGGATAGTTCACCCAAAAATGAAATTTACCCCATGATTTACTCACCCTCAAGCCACCCTAGGTGTATATAACATTCTTCGTTCAGACGAATACAATCGGAGTGGTAACACTTTACAATAAGGTTCATTACTTAACATTAGTTAACTACTTTAGTTAACATGAACTAAGCATGAACAATACTTCTAGAGCATTTATTAATCTTAGTTAATGTTAATTTCAACATTTACTAATGCATTGTTAAAATCGAAACTTGTGCTTGTTAACATTATTTAATGCACTGTGAATTAACAACTGTGTTTTCATTAACTAACATTAACAAAGATGAATAAATACTGTAATAAATGTACTGTTCATTGTTTGTTCATGTTAGTTAATAAATGAACTAACATTAACTAATGGAACCTTATTGTAAAGTGTTACCATCGGAGTTATATTGAATAATGTCCTGGCTAATCCATGCATTATAATGTGAGTGGATGGTAGCCCAAAATTTCTAAAAGTCGAAAAAATTGCACCCATCCATTATAAAATAAGTCCACACAGCTCCGGGGGGTTAATAAAGGCCTTCTGAAGCGATGCGATGTGATGCGTTTGTGTCAAGTCAAGTCACCTTTATTTATATAGCGCTTTTAACGATACAGATTGTGTCAAAGCAACTGAACAGCATTAATTAGGAAAATAGTGTCAATAATGCAAAGTGACAATAGTAAACACTCATTTTTCAGTTAAAGACAGTTCATCATTGAATTCAGTGATGTCATCATCCAGCTCAGCTCAGTTTAAATAGTACCTTTGCAATCAAGTCGACGATATCACTGGAAATGAAGTGTCCCCAACTAAACAAGCCAGAGGCGACAGCGGCAAGGAACCAAAACTCCATCGGTGACAGAATGGAGAAAAAACCTTGGGAGAAACCAGGCTCAGTCGGGGGGCCAGTTCTCCTCTGACCAGACGAAACCAGCAGTTCAATTCCAGGCTGCAGCAAAGTCACATTGTGCAGAGGACTCATCTGGTTCCTGTGGTCTTGTCCTGTGGTCGTTTGAGACAAGGTCTTTACAGGGGATCTGTATCTGGGGCTTTGTGTAAGAAAAAATATCCATATTTACAATTTTATAAACCTTAATCTCTAGCATCCGTTAACTGTCGTACGCACGTTCATGAGAGAGTGGCATCCAGCGGAACGCTTCCACGTTCGTCACTGCATTTGCCTACGTGCTACGTCACCCGCTGGACGCCACTCTCTCGTGAATGCACGTACAACAGTTAGTGGAAGCTAGAGATAAAGGTTTATAAAGTTGTAAATATGGATATTTTTCTTACACAAACGTATTGCGTAACTTCAGAAGGCCTTTATTAACCCCACGGGAGCCGTGGGGACTTCTTTTATAATGGATGGGTAAAATTTTTTCGACTTCAAATTTTGGGCTACCATTCACTCCCATTATAAAGCATGGATTAGCCAAGACCATTTTTAATATAACTTCGATTGCATTCGTCTGAAAGAAGAAAGTCATATACACCTAGGATGACTTGAGGGTGAGTAAATAACAAGCAAATTAGAATTTTTGGGTGAACTAACCCTGTAATATGATTACTTTTACAGTAGTTTTTTTTTTTTTAGGAAGACAACAATATTCTTTAACCCAGAGCCGATCCTCCCTATATGCAAAGTACGCAAGCTGCGTAGGGCCCCGAAACACCAGGGGGCCCCTTACTGTCAAACATGATTTAATTTTAGTTTAGTTTTTGAATTTGGCCAGCGGTTATGAAAACTGCTTATGTCATTTATTTTAATGTGGTGCGCTGTCGCCCTTTCTACGTAAAAATTGAGGGTGAGTAAATAACAAGCAAATTAGAATTTTTGGGTGAACTAACCCTGTAATATGATTACTTTTACAGTAGTTTTTTTTTTTTTAGGAAGACAACAATATTCTTTAACCCAGAGCCGATCCTCCCTATATGCAAAGTACGCAAGCTGCGTAGGGCCCCGAAACACCAGGGGGCCCCTTACTGTCAAACATGATTTAATTTTAGTTTAGTTTTTGAATTTGGCCAGCGGTTATGAAAACTGCTTATGTCATTTATTTTAATGTGGTGCGCTGTCGCCCTTTCTACGTAAAAATCAATCAAATCATGTAACGTGAATGTCATACAGTGTCTTACTCGAGACAAAATAAAAAATGAGTTGAAAGCGCCATGTCATCCGCATGTCTAACATATGTCTCCCCAAACAAATCATCCCATCTGATGGAAGGTCAGCAAGCCAGTGGCAGAAGAAATCCTCCTGGAAGAAATCCATAGAGGTGCTGCAAGTCATGATATAGAACTCTGTGCTGCAGTGACTAAGTGACAGCTTTGCAAAGAGAAAGACATAACTCAACCACTACCAATGCCTTGAAGGCTATCCACCAAGTGTTTGAGTGTGGTGCCACCACAGTGCCCTGAGTCTTTATGTCTGTGATCCGTACTTTCCTTTTCAAGTGCCGCTACCAAAGTGTAACCAGTGAGGTTTAGAATCAGAAGCGTGTGATGCTATGATAATTGTGTATGTAACCTCCATGCCATCAGGAGCTGAGTCAGACTGTAACCATATGCCAGCGGTGTTGTTCTGTAAGCAAGCAATATCAGATAAGATCTTTAGCTATGTCAAGCAACTGTTACACCATCTGAACGGTATATTTGGTTTCTCTGGAGGCTGCTGGCAATGTGACTGAAGCTATGGTCCGCTGCAAGGCTTGAAAATGGAAAACTCAGGCCTGCTGTCAGAGAAAGGAATCTCTGAAATTCCATGTTGGAAAAATATTGACTTTTACTACACTATTACATTTCATAATTTCTTGCTGGAGTTAGTTTGAAAAATTCCACAATTATGGAAAAATATGCCACTACTAGTAGATAGGTGTTACTATGTATTGAAAACAAGTCTGCATCCCACATAAGTCATTGTGTGGCAGGAAACTCATTAATAGCTAAGTTGCATGTTTTTAAGCATGTTTGCACTTACTCTTAGACTGATGGGAAATTCCCATTACAGAAAGCATCCTGGCCTGCCTCTATTGTATCTAAAGCAGCTGTGGTGGAAAGAGTACTAAGAAATTGTACTTAAGTAAAAGTATTTCTACTTAAGGAATAATTTACTTGAGTTCAAGTAAAAGTACTGAAAAATAACATGACTCAAGTAAGAGTAAAAAAGTAGTTTTTACTCAAGTTACTGCATTACAAAGTACTTTTTATTGTTATTTTCTATTTTTTCCCAAAATGAGATGATGTGAGCATAATGGAACAGGGTTAACCCTAACCCTAACACTCATGTACTGTCATGTCTGTTTCACAAGTGAGACCCAGGAAATCCCTTATATGGACAAATGCATGAAATCGCTACAGCTGAATAACATGCAGATAGAGACACTTTGACTGATGAAACGTGGAAGACAATAAACACACAATTGCAATGCAATGCTAATTGACATAGCTTGTATCACAGTATAGACTTTTATCAAATATATTTTCTGTCTCACTGTGATAAGAAGCAATATTGAACCAGAGAAGCTAACTGTTTCAATCACGACTGACGATATATAGTGATTTTGGAGCAAAACATGATATTAGTCTCATAAATTGTCATGTTTGACGCTATGTTAAGAAAACAACTACCTATCCATGTTGCCAGGAGCAACTGTTTTATAACTAATTTGGAATAGTACATTTACGTATAAGATCATGTGGTTGTTTTTAAGAAGGGCAAAAGCAAAGAAGGGTAAGTGAAGGTTTCAAAGGAAAGAAAGGGTTTAAAATGGTGTGAATAGAAAGGTGCCAGTAAAAAAATAATGTGGGGTGTGGGTAAGGTTGGGCATCATTTGAATCGTTTGAAAGTTGAACACTTACGCAAGGATGTGTGTGCAGCAGAGAAAACAGCCAGTGAGTCTTCTGGACTTGAATGGTTTAAAATCACATTGAAAGTGTAGTTTGTTATAATAACAAAGGTGGACTCACATTTTCAGTAGGACAAAAGAAAATTTTATTTAACATGTTAACCCATACCTAGGCTTGGGAATCCAAAATCTATTCCAATTCTGGAATAGGATGCTTAAGGTCAGGAATTGCCTACTTGTTATCAAATTAAAATTTAGATTGCTCTTCTCGATTCCTTTGTGTGCATTTTAATATGACTTTAAACCATTTAAGCACAAGCAAACTTGTGCTCTGTTTTCTGTAATGCACACATAGGGGCAAAGCCATCATTTCAGTAATGAGCGGGACAGAAATGTAAAAAAACAAACAAAAAAAAACTTTTGTCTAATTGACAGGCTTTATTTTTTCTTATGTCTTTTAATTGGCTAAGAAATCAAATACACTGCTGGACGATAGCCAATAATTTGTATTCTATATTTTTTTCTGTATTTTCCTAATGAAAATTTTAGGATTGGTTTACACAAACACTTAATAAGGAAGAATAGTTTCTATACTGTAATACATGTTACATCAGTTAGCACTGCATTATTCATATACTTTATTATCTCGAAATTACTTGAAATTACCTTATTTTAGCTGCAGTGATAGCATGATGCCTTTTGTCCATATTAGGGATTTCCTGCAGAAGTTATCCCTTCTATGAGGCCGGTTTGGACTTTCTGCGTGAGAACGCCCTCCGGCTTTGACTGTGAATGAACCATACACTGTAGAAGAGTGTTCAGCGCTCCGAGATGTTCACATCGTCTCGTTTTGGATATTAATAAACCATTTGGTCATACATAGACTATCTCGTTAGTGCAATAACTGCATCCTTCTATCAACCGAGTTTTCTATTTACTTATACTGCTGTGTGCTCTGGTAATATCAACGCAGTATGAC